GGCAACATTGCAAATGCTAAAAGAAGTACAATGTCGCCTCATCTCCAGAGCCTAGGCTCTGATTCACATGTTTGCGGATATTCGGAATAACCTTCACGCATCATCTCCTTGATTAAACCCGTGTACATTGAACAAACTGTGGAAACCTATCTCTTGTAACCTTCTTCATCTCGAGTAGATTATTAGTTAATTTGGTTATAAGGCCCAATTTCTGTGGTCCAATCCCTCTCCCTAGTTACGTAAAGCGTCACGTCCCCAATGTTGTATTTGATCATTCGAGCTGACTACATTCACTGGCACGTATTCGCTTCATTTCCGAAACTTCCTCACCCTCTTCTTCCTTGTGATCCCTTTTCCTATGGTTAACGATAGATCCTTGATCATTTTTGCTTGTCTGGCTGTATCCTTGTGCTCCCCAAGTTTGATTAGGCAATAGGCAATGGTCTTCGCCTCTACGTTGAATTTTGTTATATTATTCACTTATGTATGGCATATAATTTAAATAGCTACTTTGGATGAATTATTTCTCTTAAATAAAATAATTCATTGAAAGTTAACTTTTACTTTATTAAGCCTCTCACGTAGCCATTTCCCAAAACTCATGCTCCACCTGAACTTTTAAAATCTAGGATATGCCCTTCGTGATGTACAAGGGCAGGAGAAGTGACACCGAAGGCTACTCGGATGACCCAGCTATGTGGCACGGATTCTGCATCCAACTTCTTGAGATGATAGCTAAAGACCTCAAGTTCACCTTCACCATTCAACACGTTGCTGACAACCAGTATGGAATATCGCATGAGGTAGATGGCATAACCAAATGGAACGGTATGATCGGGGAACTGCTTGAGAAGGTGATATTTCTTTAATACATAAAATTACTTGGAACCAATAAATGCTACAGAATTATGGATGAATTTTTCGTATATTCAAAAACGTTGATTTAATATTTATAAAATGATAAATACGGGAAAACGTATTGCCGTTCAGCACTTTGTAATTTATAGTTATTCAGCACACACAGTAGCTAAAAGTATTAATGCTAAATACATACAAAGACTAACTTTACATTTAAGAAATAGGAAATGAATAAAGTCATTTATTTGTTCTTATTTATTTATATTGTCATGTATATATATATAATTCTTATTATATTATGTTTGAATGAAATTATAATTTATTTTTAGTTATTAATTATATTATTTTAATCGAAACTGTTAAAGACAGGAGGGTGTGGTCTCTAGTACGTTCGCAGTCTCCTTACGTTGTATGGAGTGTTTTGACCTCATTTTCGCAACTTGATCGCACTTTCACGGAGATATAGATGAAAGCACGTTAAGTCCATTTTTCATCCATCCTGCTCAGTGAAGCTGGAGTATGTAATCTATCAAAGGCTTGGGTCAGAGTGTAGGGCATTACTCCTCGAGTAGCACAGATATGGTGGAAGTGATCAAGTTAAATCACTGAAACAGGAAGACAAGCGACAGATCTTACGGGGCAAGATGGAGTCTGATAGTACATGAATGAGGTCTGCAGACTTAAATGGCAAACTCGGATCAACACTCCCAGTACAGGAGGTAGGGGGGGAGAGGGAACTAACAGGGAGTGTAAATAGGTCTTGATAAATCGACTCCAACCCACACATCTGGATTAAGCTAACATAAGCATGCTATACATTTTGATAGAAAAGGGAGTAATACGACGATATAGGACAGGTGAATAGACATGAATAGGAAAGATACTCCAAATGTTCAGCAGATAGTTGGTCAAAGTATCGATTTCACTTATCCCTTTGACGAATCTAATTTGATGCTGAGAATGGCAAGGCTCACCTGCGATGCCAACTATGATGCCGGCGAAATGTCTTGGAATGTACCTATCCCACGGTTCGAAGTTAAAGACTATCATGGCAGAGGTCTCCGAAAAAGGTGCATTTACCTATGTCTACCTGAAAATACGACCAAGTTGAACCCCTCAAATAGTATTTTTATTTTTTCCAAAGTAAAAGTTGCTATCTTTTTTTATGAC